GAGTCACAATACACATACACTTTCTTTTGAAAACATAAAAGTTTATTCAGAGAAAACTCGAACAGGATAATATGGGAAGGGCTATAGTCAACATACAATATATACCCATTTGAAATTTTTGAAAGGAAATAAAGTTTGTCAAATGAAGTGGGTGTCAGAAGAGTTGAAGTTTATGAACTATTTTGAAGTAGCATTAAGGGCACTACCTGAGAGCAAACTGGAAGCTTTACCACTACATGTAAACATAGAGGATTTAAAACAATGAACCAAGGTAGCTGGCAGACATCTGAGGTATTAGTATGCGCATTTGTGTACTCCTATGCAACTTGCTTCAGTTTACATGCAGTTTTCTGCTTTTTCCTAATTTTGGGCAATGAGTTATGCATATGCAAATGTGCAATTCCCCTCATGTTCTATTTTGAATATATTTATCATGATGAACAACTATAATCTAACAAATTCTCTTTTGAGATAATTCCAGTTTGCTTTCTTCCAGAGTCCTGAACAAGAGTGAAGGGCTAGATAGTATTCTATTATCAAATAACACATTTGAATTGCAGGCTGGTTCTTCTGTGTCAACACACTTCTAGACTTTCTACTTCAGTTCTTGTTAGCTTAAGGGCTGAAAACTATTTTTAATGTTAACCTAAAGTATCATTTAGAAGGTACACTGAAAGGCTGAGAAAAGATATGAAAATTCCAAAGTCAAACGGGAACAAGTGTTTCAATATTCAGTATCACAGCTAGAACACAATTGACCTTTCAAACAGATAATTTAGCGCTGAGGATTAGAAAATGTTATCTTGTTCCCAACAAGGTCTGAACAATTTCAGAATGTGTTTTTCATGGTTTTGATATTTCAAAAACCCATAAAATATCTTGCATAGATACCAATATTAAATCTTTCCCTGTCTCTATTGTATCTCCAGTACTGTAATCCTCTATACAATTTTTCCTGAGTTATTGCTGTAGTGCTTGCACTACATGGCTTACAGGGTGCTTGGATCACTGATGTTCTGAGTGACTATTTCCAGGGTTGTCACACAAAACTAGCTCTAGGGCGCCTGACAGTTTGGATTATTCCTGTTGAGAGAGAAAACGCCCCACAACAAGCTCTTCCATATGGTAGTGGTGACTTCCTTTCTGTAGAGTAGAATTGTTGCTATATAGAGGAGTAGCTTAGCCAAGCACAAAGACTTTCCTTAAACCTATGTTAGCCTTACAGCAGTGTAGGTCTTACAGCCATTGGGAATGACCAAGTGGGAAAAGATTTTATCACAATTCCCATCTATGCAGAAGATTTTGTGAGCTCCTATAATTTTTGTGAAATGAAATCAAATAACCATTTAATTCAAGGGTGCTTTCAATTATGGGGTGACCCACAGAATATTATTGTATAGACCAGGGATCAACAAAATTTTCTGTAGAGACTTCAATAGTAAACATTTCACACCTTGCAAGTCATACAATCAACATTCCAACTGCTAAACTCTTTCAGGAAACCAGCCAACACATAACATAAAAAGCCCTAGCTATATAGCAATTAAATGCTATCTTCAAAAACAGCATGGACCAGTTTGTTGACCCCTATTTAGGAAAACAATAGTTTTCCCTTTTCCTTCTGTTTGTTTTTAATTGTGTTACACAACCTCAGAGCTTTCCATGAAAGGGTCAGGGAAGGCCAATAAAACAGAGACATGAACTATCTATGCTTCAAACAGAGCATTTAAAAATTATATATAGACTTTCCTGTGAAATTAGGTTTGATTAAAGGGCTCATTTATAATGAAAACTTTTTTGTTATTGTTCTTTCTCAAGACAGGTTTCTCTGTGTAACAGTCCTGACTGTCCCAGAACTCACTCTGTACACCAGGCTGACCTCAAAATCACAGAGATCCATCTGCCTCTGCTTCCTTAGTGCTGTGCTTAGAGGCTTGTGCCACCATCCAGCTATAATGAAAATTTTAAAACCACTGCTTTAAACTAAACCTAATGCTTTAAAGCTAAAAAGCAGACATTTGGGCAAAATAAACACATTTTATCATTTTCAAAAATAATGAATGTTAGGATATGTTTTATTGCTCCTAACAATTAATACTTCCATGAAGTTATAAAGCTGTTTAAATAGACAACTATAATAACTCTAAGATGTCATTGGCTTATCATTCCTACCACCCATTTTGACGTTTTCTCAACAGAGATATTAATGTTTAAACCTTGAAAACTCCAAGAAACTTGGCATGGAATATTCAAATAAAACTTCAAACTGGGACTCCAATACTAGACTGTGTGCATGTGGAAGACAGGAACTAAGTTGCCTTTTTTATATTCAAATTGTCTTTAGCACTTTAGAATACTGCATGACATTTAGTAGACATGTTCACTGAACTGCTATATATTCCACATAGCAACATAGCATTCAAATTTTTAATATACAAACAGGTGATACCTCTACAATAAAACAAAATATTTTAAGAAACATGTAGCTTTCCCAGCAGCTGTAAGAAACATGCTTTTAATGCCAGCACTCAAGAGGCAGAGACAGGTGGATCTCTGTGAGTTAGAGTCCAGCCTGCTTTACAGAGTGAGTGCTACACAGAGAAACCCTGTCTCAAAAAACCAAAAATGTAATTAGCAAGAAAATAAATTTATGTGGTTATATCCTTTTATATAACATATTTTGATAAACATAGACTATCCTTTTCCATAATCCCAAAGCAAAAGTGTGTTCTCCATGGTGAACAAAAAACCTGTAATTTGAGATGAATTTTTCGATTTTTTTGAGACAGGGTCTTAGGTAGCCCAGGAGAGCTTAAAATGACTTTGAAATACTGATCTTCTTTCCTTTGCCTCTCAAATGCTACTATTGCTGACATTCACCAATGCACACAGTATCATTAGCTCATTTCAATTGACAAATAATTGCTTATAGTTTGATGGTTCAGTGTGTATGTTGATCAGTGCAAAC